TGCCCTCCAGCCTACGTTCCGTGCTGTCGCTTCACCGCCCTATGCCTAGCTGTTTCTTGACTTCTTGTCCGTTCTTTTCTTGCTTAGTGTTGTTTGTCTGCCCACCCGCCTCCCCCATGCCCTCCAGCCTACGTTCCGTGCTGTCGCTTCACCGCCCTAGTGCTACTTCTTGACTTGTTGTTGCTGCCTCATTCTTCTGCCTAGTGCTGTTTGTCTGCCCGCCCGTCCGCCTCCCCCATACCCTCCACCCTTTGTTCTTTGCTGCGGCTTGCCGTCCAAGAACCGTGTTGTGTCCTGACCTTAACTTTGCCATTTTGTTTGCCTTGTTGTACTTGTTGTACCGCTGGTCAGTTTAATTTTTGTTTTTGTTTTTCTTCTTCTTTGTTTTGTTTCATGGCTTTTGAAAGCTCGGCATTATAACCATTCTTTTGTATGGGAATCCCGGGCTGCGGGCTCTTTCCTGGTGTTGTTTATAAGCACACCTTCTGACGCAACATGCTGCGCCACGGTCACAGAAGCCACACAATAGAAACATAACACACACACACACACACACACACACACACACACACACACACCCCTTCCCATCCCTACAACCCCGCTTTCCCACCCCCCTCACCCCGGACTTCGACCGTTATAGCCCCATCATACCCAACCCCCCCCCGTACCCCATACCCCAAAGGCTGCTCCCCCATCACTGCCTACGATTCACCAGGCAATTCTTTATGACAACCTCTCTGCCTCTCTGCCTACGATTCACCAGGCAATTCTTTATGACAGCCCCTCATTTGTTGTCCTCTTCTCCCTCTCTGCCTACGATTCACCAGGCAATTCTTTATGACAACCTCTCACTCTCTATATGTATATATACATATACTACACAGCCAGGTGTCCGATCCCGAGACGTCAACCCCGGACGTCAGCAGGGAGTTGTCCAGGATCCCGGACAAGTTTACAGCAGAAACAGAAAACAAAGAAAAGGGGTCGTCTGTGCACCTCACGTAGACCCCGTAAAAAAAACAAAAAACTCATCTGGAATTTAAAAAAAGAAAGAAAGTCAAACACCGTCGAGGGGGGTTTGGGGTGGGTTTGGGGTCCACACACACACACACACACGAGCACACACACACACACACACACACACACACACACACA